GGGATCCTCCCGGACCGGGGCACGAACCCGTGTCCCCTGCATCGGCAGGCAGACTCTCAACCACTGCGCCACCAGGGAAGCCCTGGTCCAAATTTTAAATCATAGTCTAGCAGCTAGAACAGGACTCAGATTACTCTGTGAGCATTGCTACTTTATTTGAAAACATGAGATTAAAAATAATTTTCTTTCCACTGTTTAGGTTGGTCACAGCAGATGTAGCTTTTTACACTGGAAATCTTCAAGCCTTAAAAGGCCTTAAAGATTTGGACCTAAATATGGCCGAGATCTGGGAACAGAAAAGGTGATGACATACTGGAAAACTGGGTAGTTCATCTTACCATGGGATGTGTATGTTTGTGATGAAAATATGGATGCCTGTGATTCAAGAACTGAACCTGGAACCCAAAGTGAACTGGGGTTGGGGAAGGGGAAAAGGAAAGTATCAGTGTTGGGAAACTGGGATTCACTGGGATCTACAAGGAATGCCATTTGTGTGCTTCCTTCAGTGAGGAGTAACTGATCAGGTGTCTATAATATTTTTCATTCTCTCTGGCAACAGACTCAGGTTTCTTTGGACCAAATCCAAAAGAACACATAGCTGTAACACAGCTGTAGTTGACTAGAATGCTCTGTATACTTTATATTAAAAAATGCTTTGCATTTCTTCCAGTGCAATGAAATTCATATGGTGTCCCACCTTATTTAATGATGGTACAATTTAAAATATTAAAATCTTACTCAACCTCTGTAGAAAGTTTTCTCTATGAAAGTAAAGCTGTTTGAAAAATTATTTTTTTACAGATCTTTCTATAAAAATAAACATCTTTTGATTGCTTGGATTTAGGAATTCAGTTTTTGTTTTAGTGACCAATGTCAAGTTTCAGGCTTTGTGTGTCACATATTTAATCTATCATCACCACTGTATGTCACCTGCGTAAAGCCTTCCAGAATAGTCTAAATACTTGAAAGACTGATCATAAGTAATAATTAAAGAGTAAGATTTTGGTGTTCATTTATGCAACTACTAATTTAAAAACTTTCCAGATGTGTATGAAAGCCTGCAGTTTAACAGCTGTATTTTTATAAAAGTATCTATGCAGGGTTGGGGTGTTTTTCCTTTTTATTTCTAGCAGAGGTAGGTAAGAATACATTTTCATATATTCTGCCTACTTATCTAAATGTTAAAATGAGATCTCCTCATAACATTGAAGTATGTATGTCCCCTGCCTTGGGTTCTTATTTGTAAGTAACTTTCAATGTGTATATGAACAAAGACCAGGGAGAAATAGAACTGTTAAAATATAGGCTGCTGTGTTGGGGCCAGAAATATAAGGTGATGAGTAAGTTATTTAAAAAGACTTTTATAAAACACCTACCTTCAAAATTAGAATCAGCAGCACTCTATAAATGAAAGTGCCTGTGCCTCACTTCACACCAGGAATCTTGCCTAACCCTGTCAGAGTGCCTAACCTTGTGGTGATTATGTACAATGAAATAGTCTTATTTTGTGCTCTTTGTTTTCCTAAGAGGAATTCATTCCGTTATCATTATTTCAGAGGTATGTCAGTCATTGGTTCTTAAACTGTCGTCTGTCTAAAATAAAGCTGTAAAGAATTACCAGACTTTAAAAGACAACTTTTTTTTTTTTTATAGTAACAGTAAACTTATTAAACAGGCAGCTTACTCAAAAACAAGTACGGAAGAATTGGAAAATGTAATTGATTCTTAGAGAAAAGCTGAAATTCAAACTACCAGCAGACCTGATTTGGGTTATTCAAGAACATTGGAAAATGTAATTGATTCTTAGAGAAAAGCTGAAATTCAAACTTCCAGCAGACCTGATTTGGGTTATTCAAGAACATTTTTCAGTAACAACAAGCAAGCTTCCACAAGTGAAGCTTCAAGGAAAGGTAACTTTTTATAAAGTTATACCCCACCCCGCTATACTAGAGAACAAGGATGTGAAAGAAATGCCCTACCTCTACCCACCCCACCCCCTTCAGCTGGGAAAAGAAACACCACTTTGTTTCAATAAATGGAGAGTCTATGGAGAGCATGGCAGGCATCCCAGCTTTAGAACTGGATGAAAGATATTAAATACCTTCAAGTTTAATTCCTGTGGAAATAATGATGTGGTTAAGATTCTTAGAAATGCAAAAACTGGATTTGTTAGGTAACTGGCTAGTGAGTACTTCAGTGTTCCAAGAGCAAGTCTTCCAACTGACAGAGTAGCTGTTTAGCAAGAGTAAACCATTTTTCTTCACCATTTCATAAAGTTAGCATTGAAAAGTATAAGTGTATACATGGATTGCTTCACAGCTTTATTTTTAAAACCACAAACAGTTCAAAGTGACCATCACTGAGGCCTCTGTTAAAAGATTTTCCAGCAGAGCTACCACAGTTTTAAGATTAAACAATATTGCACTTTAAGATGGATTTAACTTTCAGGATCTTCTTCAAAAAGAAAAGTATTGCTTCCACCTGTGCTTTTCACAGACTAAAAGCATACCGCAGAAAACTCAACTTAAAAATTAACACTGTAGGATACAGTAACATAGTTAAGTACCTGCCTATTTTATAATCCTAGAGAACATTTCATTGTAAGAAACTGTTTAACCCATAATTAGTATAAAGTGCACAATATTTTTCATTCAGTGGTCCAAGATACGAAGATTCCCAGATACAATCTTGTTCTCTAATACTGCTCCAGGTGGGATGTCAATTCGGTCACCATGATTTGCGATGATGATAACCGTTCCCTAAGTGACAGGAAAAACAAAAAACAAGAATATACTTGCAAGTGCAGCTGAAAATGCAATAGATTTTCTTACAATTATCAAGTTTATGTAGAACTTCACTTACAATGGAGTAAGTGTATTTATAAACAATATTACACATGAAAAACAAATAACACATTAAGGAAAACTGTAATGTGTCCTGTTACAATACTGGCAGTAGCTGTGGTACCATCTCTGATAAGGAGGCAAGGAATCTAGCAGTGGGAAGCAGGCCAACGCCAGAGAATAGTGGGCCCTTTCCAAGAACTACTTGCAAGGCCACCAGCATTATCTACCTTCGTAAACTGAAAGGTGCTTGGTTTATATTTACATACAGGTGTGGGTTTTTTTGTTTTTTTTTTTGTTTTTTTGAGAACAGTTCAATGATTTATATTTCATGTCTTAAGTAAAACTGTTTAGATGAAGCAGTATCAGCAATAATTATATATATGTTGTTTTGTTTTTTTCCAAGATCTGTAAGTAGCTTTAATAGGAAGAACACCTGAAATCTAGGTATGGAATTTTAAAAAAATATTTGATTAGGAAAAAACTGTTGAATCTTTGGTTCTGAGCTTTAATACTCATACCCATAGTCCTTCCTATTTCTTATGCTAGGCTGGAATGATACTCATCAAAGTACCCAAGCACTACAGTAATGTGAATGAACATCTTCATACTGATAACAACAGATTAACAAGAATAGATTATAATCAGCATAAATGAAGCTGTCATTTTTTCTACTTTCATTCAGATTCAACTAGTCATCTTTAGTTAACTAATGCTAATTTATCAGTGATTCTATTTTAAATATTGTCATATTTCAATAAAATAGTACCAATTCAATTATTTAATAGTGTTTGCTTTCCATTTGAATGCTATACTCCACAAAATGCCTATACACAACAATTATATTTTAACTATGTTGTATATTTATGGAAAACAGTATTAATACTAAATATTGTAGTAAGCTATTTCATTTTTAAAATGCATATCTTATAAACAATCTGGTACAAACTAAGAAGTATTCCTTAGAGGTAAATTTAGGACTAGAAAATGAAACCTGTCTTGTAAAGCTATAAGAACTGTAATTTTCATCATAACCACACACCTTTAATGAAACATTCTTGCCAAATGTTACATCTCCTGAAACTGTGAGGTGATCCAATTCAAGCATATCTGGTATACTTTCAAATCTCCTTAGATAATCCTGAACCTGAAGGAAAAATGTAAACATAAAAATTGTTTCAAAAATGGGTTAACAGAAAAACAGGGATTAAATTAACAAGATAGTTTGCTTGAACTGTAAAACATTCTATTTATGTCCAAGCTCAGGCCTTCTACGGGAGGAACCCTGTTTATTAAGCACTCTGTGTGTGCAGTGAGAATTTATATATCCTGTGCAGGAGAGACCAGGAGATATGAACATTGTCCCTACAATCAAGCAATTTACACTACAGCTGAGTAGATCAGACATTTAAAAAAAACAGTAATTAAATAAAAAGATAAACAACCAACATGCTAAGAGCGAGATGAGTGGTTCACATAATCTGGAGTTAGTTGGAAAAAAGAGAGATCATCATGGTTCGAAGCAAGCTAGACTGGAGCTGGGTTTTATGGGATGGGTAGGATTGAGAAGAAGGAATATAGTTCAGGAAGAGCAACAGCACAAATTATCATTATAAATGATCACGATCTTTGCCTCTTATTATTTCCTTAGATTTACCGGCACTAGAAATAGTCCTATATGGCCTTGTTTCCTATTTTGCTGAGAAAAACAGAAGCAACAGAAAAACTTCCACTGGCTTCTACCACCATCACCCATTTGCCCTCTAGCCCATTACTGTGTCCCTCCTAGTACTGGAGTTGGACCATTTCTATTCCAACTTAAGGCTAACTCTTCTTACGGTTACTGCCCGAGGATACTGTCCAGCAATTCCTTCTCCCTCTTCAATGTTCCTTCCCTCTTGATTGTATCAACTCCCATCAATGTATAAGACATGCTATAAATTCCCTCAACTTAAAAAAAAACCTGTAAAATCTTACATCCCTTTCTACCTATAGCTCCATTTTTCTGTTTTTCTTTAAAGCAAAACTCTTGAATAAGTTTTCTACACTCATATCTCCAATTTCTCTTCTATTCTCTTTTAAATCCATTCCAGTCAGGCTCCAAAACCTCTCAACTGTTAAATCTAATGGTAAGTTCTCATTCATCTTACTTGAATCGGCAGCAGCACTTGACTGCAAATGATTAGCCCCTCTTTTCTTGAAACATTTTCTTCATTTGGCTTTCAGGCCACACACATTCATGGTTTTCTGCCCAGTTCTTCATCTGCAACTCCTCAGTCATCTTTGCTGCTTCCTCCACCTCATCCCCACCCTCTAAGCCTTCCAGTCCCGCAAGCCTCAGTTCTTGGACTCCCCACCCCTCTTTCATTCCCTAGGTGATCCTTATCTCATGGCTTTAATTACCAGCTATAAAGTGACAGTCCTCAAATTTACCTCTTTTCTAGATCTCTCCTCCACACTCATACATTCAGCTTCTCCATTTGAAGGTCCAAGTACAGTATCTCCAAAAGTTAACTCCCCATTCTGCTCCCCCTAAACCTACTCTACCCAAGCCGTCCTGTGTCTCAGTAAATGGCAATTCCATGTTTCCAGTTGCACAGACCAAAAACCTCAGAGCCATCCTTACCGTTCTCTCTTTCTCACCCTCCTACCTAGTCCAACAGCAAGTTGTAGGTACAACTTTCAAAATATAATGTCAACATTTTTTCACTATTTCCCCTGCAACCACCCCTGGTCCAAGCCAGGATTCCAGCAACAGCCTATTCCCTGGTTTCCCTGATTCTACCCTTGCCCACCAGACTGGTCAACTTGACCTCTCAGCTCACACTCTCCAATGGCTTCTCATCCCCCAGAAGGAAAAAAAAAAAGCCACACTCCCAATATTCAATTACAAGGTTCTACACAATCTGGCCTGTCATCTCTCTGACCAACTATCTCCCACCCCCATCCCTCACTTGCTCACTGTGCTCTAGTGTCCATAAGACATGTTCTTCCTC